GAGGATCAAGACCTGATAAGGGATGCCTTATGGCATAAGAGCTGCCACCCCGTGAACATCTCCATCAAGCACGAGCTAGCATACTGTGAGAATACGCCAAAAATGTTGGTTAAGGCGGGGGCTGGTCCTGCTGCGTCACGACTGCCTGCGGTCGAGTCAGAGGTGAGGGTTGCCAACAGCTACAAGACACTGCTGCAGACCGTGCGCCCGATGTACGAGGCTTGTGGCGGCAAGACCGACCTTTCTGTCCTTGAGGATGCTCTGGCTCTCATCAAGTTGTACCCCTATTCTGCTGACAACGTGCCTGCTGTCACCAATGTCCCGAACCTGCGACCTTCGCGTTGTTAGAAAATGTAGGCGATCAAGACTACAATCAGCCTTGAATCCTAATGGATTTTAGATTAGAAAAGGTAGAAGAAAAGTAAGGAAAAGAATAAAAAAGGAGAAGAACAGGAGAACACAAAGGTTTGAAAGAAGGGACAGATTCTCAAATTGATCTGCCGCCGCCACTCTCTTAGTATTTATAGGTTATATTCAGTACATAGAGGAAAGGACAGATTTGTCCTTAATACTTACATGACAAATAAAGCAAATAACAAACTGAAATAACAAGTTGACCACCAACTAACACTAACATGACAAACAAATAATTGCACATACTGTCCTACGAACATAGTGGGGACCACAACTGTGGGGCCCACATCAATGTTCTCTACACTCCCCCTCAAGTTGGGAATAGATATTTATCATTCCCAACTTGGATAGGTCTGCCTCTAACTTCTTCCTTGGTATAGCCTTGGTTAGGATATCTGCGAGCTGCATGTTGGATGTGATATACGAGAGACACACTACATGTGATGAGACCCTCTCTCGGACAAAATGTCGATCAACTTCGATATGCTTAGTTCTGTCATGCTGCACCGGATTGTGAGCTATATTAATAACCGCCTGATTATCACAATACAACATCAGGGGCTTCTCATAATCAATACCCAACTCTTCAAGTAGTTATCTCAGCCATAGGATTTCAGCCACTCCGTTAGCCATTGACCTGTATTCAACTTCAGCACTAGAGCGGGAAACAACACTTTGTTTTTACTCCTCCAAGAGACAAGATTACCTCCCACAATAGCACAATATCCAGAGGTATACCTCCTGTCATCAGCACTCCCAGCCCAATCAGCATTTGTATAGACCTCCACCTTCATGTGATTAGCATTCTTGAACAGTATACCCCTACCCGGGCATCTCTTCAAGTATGCTAATATTTTCTTTGCTGCAAGAAGATGAGTAGTTCTAAGGGAATGCATGTACTGGCTGACAACACTAACTGCATAACTGATATCTGGCCAAGTGAGGTAGAGATATAGGAGCTTTCCAACCAACCGTTGGAACAGAACTTTGTCTTCAAGAGGCTCCCCGCCCTCTGCACTGATCTTGTGATTCTGTTCAATGGGTGTATCAGCAAGCTTGACACCTAACTTTCCAGTTTTCGCCAACAGATCTAGAATGTATTTTCTCTGAGATAAAGATCTCTTGTTTAGACCTAGCAACCTCAATACCCAAAAAGTACTGTAGTGCACCAAGATCTTTCACCTCAAACTCTTGATGAAGGAGCKGTTTGAGGGACTCAATCTCACTACTATTATTTCCTATCACTACAATATCATCCACATACACAGCAAACAGGGTCAAAGAGGAGTCCAACCTTTTAATGAACAGTGTATGATCTGACTGGGCCTGTACATAACCGAATTTTCCAAGGGCTAGTCTGAATCTATCAAACCAAGCTCTAGGTGACTGTTTTAATCCATACAATGCCTTATTCAGTCGGCAAACCTTCTTACTTGTCTCTGTATCATAGAATCCAGGAGGCAACTGCATGTAGACCTCTTCCTGTAAGTCTCCATTCAGAAAAATATTTTTAACATCCATCTGGAACAGGGGTCAAGAATAACTTGCTACAAGGGATAATAGAACTTGGATGGTGGTCATCTTGGCTACYGGGGCAAAGGTCTCCAAGTAGTCTATACCATAAGTCTGAGTGAACCCCTTTGCAACCAGCCGGGCTTTGTACCTTTCAATGGAGCCATCAGCATTATGCTTCACAATAAATACCCATCTACATCCAATTGGCTTCTTTCCTTTGATAGGTCAACTAGCTCCCAAGTGTTATTTTTCAACAGGGCATCCATTCCAACTTGCACTGCATCTTTCCACTTTGGAACTGATAAGGCTTCTTGCACTGTTCTGGGAATAGGAACATTAGCAATGGAAATGAGATAGGACCTGTAAGAGGGAGATAGGTGATCATAGAATAAAAACTGAGAAATGCAATGAGTTGTAGATGTGGTGCAATGTCGTTTTCCTTTACGGACGACAATAGGGAGGTCAAGGTCATCCACAGGAGGGGAAGTGGCAACAGTGGAAGGTGTCCCAGTGGGCCCTGGGACTGTAATACCTGGATCTGGAGCCGTAGAAGGAACTGGAACTGGCCTGGACTGCCGATAACCGGGATCAACCTGCCTGCATCGCCTGTGATAGACTTTCATCTCCTGATCCCTTTGACCACCCTCACCATTACAGCCTTCATCACCCAATGGAATAGGTAAAGAAACATCCTCAGATGTGTTAGATCCACTCTCACTGCGCTCCCCCTAAGGAAAAAGACCCAAATCCCCACTCTCACTACTCTCCCCCTGAGGAGAAACCCTAGGATAATAGGGTGTCTCCTCAGAGAAGGTGACATCCATGGAGACAAACTCCCTCCTAGAAACAGGATCATAGCAGTAATAACCCTTTTGAGTTTGTGCATAACTGAGGAAAATGCATTTGCAGGCCTTAGGGTCAAACTTGGAATGATGGGGCCCGAGAAGCTGAACGAAGCAGGTACAACTAAAGGTTTTAAGAGGAATAGTAAACAACTCCTCGTCTAGGCATAGGAAGTGTAAAAGGGGGTTTCATATCAAGAACCCGGGAAGGAACCCGATTAATGAGATATACTGCCATGAGGATAGCATCACCCCAGAAGCGAATAGGTACATTGGAGGTAAACATAATGCTTCTAGCCACCTCCAAGATGTGGCTATTCTTCCTTTCGGCAACCCCATTCTGCTGTGATGTATGAGGACAAGTGCTCTGGTGAATAACCCCATGATTAAGGAGGTAAAGTTAATGGTTTAGCAAAGTATTCCTTTCCATTATCGGATCTGAGAACTTTGATTTTGGCTCCAAACTGGGTTAGAATCATCTGATGAAAGTTGTGTCAGAGTGGGAACCTCATCTCGAGAACGCATTAGATAGACCCAAGAAAACCGAGTATAGTCATCAACAAACAATAGAAAATATCTGTACCCACCCATAGAAGGGATGTGATATGGCCCCCAAACATCAGTATGCACAATATCAAAAGAATTATTACTCCTTTTATTACTCAAAGAATAAGATGTTCTACAATGTTTGGCAAACTCACAACTCTCACATCTCAACAAACTCAAATAAAGCAGGAAACAGACTCTTCAAAGACCGGAAAGATAAATGACCTAATCGATTATGCCAAAGCATAACCGGACTCACAAACTGAGAAACAAAGGACTTCTTATCCACTAGCTCTTYCCAAYGAGAACTCTCTCCGAGCAKATAGATCYCATTCRTCTCACGGCCAGTCCCAATCACCTTCCTCGTCTCCAAATCCTGAAAAATACATCGGTCAGGGAAAAAGGTTACTGAACAGTTCATATGTTTGGTAATACTACTCACTGAAAGCAGGTTAGTATCAAGCTTAGGAACATGCAAGACAGAAGATAAAGATATGGTATCAGATAACTTGATGTCACCCTTGCCAGAAATGGGAATAAGAGAGCCATCAGCAATGGATACTTTATCTCTACCAGAGGATAACTGATATGTAGTGAACAAGGATGGCAAGCTAGTCATATGGTTGGATGCACCTGAATCTATTACCCAACAGTGTTCAGTATTACCTGGAGATGAAACATGGTATGCTGAGGCTCGAGTACCTGAATGTGCAAATGCAGATGAGGCAGGGGCTGATGGTGATTGAGATGGCTGAGTTGAACTCCCAACTTCCTTTTCCAACTGTATTAGGGCAGCCCGAACCGCGGCTAAGGTCTCTAGGGTGTGCCTTTTGTGCCTGACGAGGATGTTGAATCAGTATTCACAGCCACATGAGCATTACCCTTCTTATTTCTTAGTTTTGCTGGAACCAAATGAGGGTGCAGCTTCCAACAAGTATATTTTGTATGCTTGGGTTTCTTGCAATTTTCACATACCAAATCCCGTTTGTCTTCCTTCTTCTTGTCCCTTTTTGTATCACCCCCTGACTTAGGTTTAACAGCTGTCAGGGCTGGGGAAAAGGGATGAAGTTGCATCATAACTTTCCTCCTGGTCTCTTCACTATGCACCAGGGAGTATGCTTGAGAGAGGGTCACACTATCTCTGGTCAGTATCTGTTGCCTCACAATGTCATAATCTGAATTCAAGCCAGCYAGAAATTCAAATACCCTATTCGTCTCAACTTGCTTTCTACAAGTCTGTGCATCTTTGGGGCTTTCCCACTCAAGAGTCTCTAAATGATCAATTTCATGCCACAGGGATTTCAAGGTAGAGAAGTAGATAGAAACTGGTTTCTCTCCTTGTTTAAGACTATTCACTTCACACTTCAGTTCATAGGTTCTTGCAACATTAAGGGATTGGAAATAGGTTTCTTTCACAACATCCCATATCTCCTTGGCTGTCTTTGCCCACAAGTAATTTCGGCTTATATGTGGCTTCATAGACTTACACAGCCATGTCATAACCAAGTAGTTCTCTTGAACCCACTTGGTATACATTGGATCCTCCTTGGAAGGTTCTTTCACATCTCCCAAGGGGTAACCTAGTTTTCCCCTTCCCCCAATAGCCATCATGGCTAATTGGGCCCATTCCAAGTAGTTTGACCCGTCAAATCTCATAGTTGTAATCCGAAACTGGGTTTCAAATACACTACCATAACTGTTGTTCCCAAAACTACCTTCTCCCTAATTTTTAAACTCCATTCTTGGTCAAGAATCAGTAGTTACGAACTATTAGGGTTACTACAACAGAAAACAGCACTTGAACAGTCGACCACAATCAGAAGCTAGTGCGGTATATGCATGAAGCTAGTGCGGGTATGATCTGAAACCAATCGGCAATCACAGTATATGCATGAAACCAGTGTAAATCTGATATGAAACCAATCGGCAATCACAGTACCAAGCAATCCGTACAAGTTTTCACCCCCTAAAAGAACTCGGAACCAAGAGACATGTCTGAAACCAGCTTAGAGAGCAATCGGAGATGCTGGAACAGAATTAGGATTTTAATCATAGGTCTGAAATAGGTGCTCAGCCGCACTTTCCAAGGGGTTCACAGTTAGGTCTTGCCGTAGGATCAATGTGAAACCCTAGAATAGATCACCTCTGAGAGAAAACCCTAAAAACAGTTCGGTCGCTCCTTCTAGATAGGTCCAACCTATCTTGACTGATAGCAATCTCTAGAAAATAAATAAGACTTACCCAGAGAATTCTGTTYGCTACCTTCCAATGTTGCCTGAACCCTAGCCTTCTCTGATTCTTCCTGATTACCAACACTCTGCAAGCCGTGCCAAGTCTTCGAACAGCTGCTAAACTCTTCTGGTAACCTCCAAGAATCAGCCAATGAACACTTCTTTATAATGGATTTATAGGCATGATTTAAGGGAAATAGAGAGCATCACACAGGAGCTCAACATAACTTTCAAGTGGATTAGAAAGATAGCAAATGGAATGGCCGACACTCTTGCAAAGCAAGGTGTATATAGGCAGCAGTTGTTTTGGACACCATTGTAAATCTTGTATCTGTGCTGGGAATGGAATGAATCTAATGGATGAATGCACCCTGTAAGTGTAATATTCAGATTATCATTTTAATTTAATCCAATGTGGAGCAACAATGTCATTGCCCGTCTAACTTACATGATTACCACTTTGAGCTAGCTCAATGTTCATTTCAAGCATGAAGTTAAATATTAGTTTTTGTTTGTGTAATAGATTATTTGGCTGACTATTACAACCATTTAGGTTTTCCATGTTTAAATTTTGCATATTTTACAATGTTTCCACCATGTCTATAATTTTTACAATATTTCCATACGGCATTCCCAACATTTTTGACGTGTTTCTTATATTTGGATTGATTGACATTTCCACCAACACCGACATTTTAAACCTTAAATACCACAAAGCACTTGTCTCCTTGGGAACCACTACAGACATTTTCCCAACAAAGCAATATTTTTCTCTTTCAACCTCCCAACACCCAACCCACCAAAATCCTTGCTTTTTGTGATACTTTCCCATCTAGTCAAATGATCTTCTTTCTCTTCCTCTGAGTTCCAAAGGAAACTTCTACAGACATTTTCCTTTCTTTTTTCCTTTCTTTTTTCCTTTCTTTTTTGTCTTTTTATACGAGGTGCATGAGGCATATGCCACTAGCATGCCTCTGCTTCATGAAAAAGGCATATGAGGTGCACGCCTCTTGCAAGTTGCACCTGAGGCATACGCCTCAGAGGTGTCAACAACTCTGGCATACAGTCTCAAGGCATTTTGGGGGCACCTTGCCTGGAGGCATGCCTCCAGGCATACGCTCCCATGCCTTTTAAAACACTAGTTTAAATTTCCTCCCAATTTATTCTCTTTCTGTGCGGGTAATCTACAATGAGTTTCAGCATGAAGACTAAAACCCATTCTAAAATCTATAAAAACCATAAGACTCAGGACTACCTCAGATTTTAATTCAAAAGTAATTTTTTTGTCCTTGTTATTCATCCCTATACCTCGCAATAATGGAATGAAATCTTGATATTTTGGGATCCATATGAAATTTAAAAGCATGAACAAAATGAAGGTTTAAGAATCTCTAATAGAAATTTTGATGGTCATTGTTGGCCTACCTTTTAGCAATACTATAAACAAAACAAAAACCCTAGATGAATAGACAAAATTATCATAGCCCCTGCATGGAAACATATTAAAAAGAAGATAAAAAATGTTGCAACTACCAGAATCAAGTATACAAGTCATATTATGATACTGTGGAGAGAGTGATGGAAAAACAAATTATGATAGAATATGACTATAACTTTTTGGTTTCAAAGTACCAAAGCCAGAAATTTTGTCCACCTTCTGAGTTAGATAAGAAAAAAACAAGAAAAGTAAAAACAAATGTTAGAGGAAAGAAAAGTTCACCAATATCAGTATACCTCCTAATGTAATTATTGCACTTTCCAACGCCAAATGTCAGAGCAAACAAATAGGCCCTAAGTATCAACCAGGTTACCTCAATCAAAATCAACTATTCTCCCTAGTTGGGTACAAAGTTATTTTTAACTTGTATCTGTTTATTCTTATCTCTGTCCTTTAGAATAGCATCATTTATGGCCTTCATATTGGTATATGTATGCCAAATGCTTTAAACATCTATGTTGAAATATGGCAAGAGGCTACATAATAGTAATAAGCCCTAAAAAATAAGAGGCATAGTGGAAGTAGATTTTTTTAACATCTTCCAATTAGGGGTGGTTGGTATGAAACCAGGGACTATGCATCCATCTATTTATCTACCTATAACTTAGACATGAGACTGCATCATTATCATAAATTTGGAATATATCTTTTTGGGTAAACTATTCAATGCTAGGCACTGACTAGTCAGTCCATCATCTAGGGAGGCCAAGATAACTAGTCATCATGTCACCAAATAGGCTACACTAGATAATATTTTGAAATTATTAAGCAAGCAGCAAAGAAACTGCAAAGACAGAAACTCTGAAATTGATGTTTGCCTAATAAAACAGAAGCGATTTTGCTAACACCTAAGTTGTTAGCAACCTGACAACTGGAACTTATAAGCATAGCATGCTGTAAATGGAACAATCCTATGGTTCAGGATAAAATAAAAGCATTAAATGGTTCAGATATAATACAAACACATGTTTCACAGTAAATCCCAGAATGGATTGGTTTATGGGTACATCCAGAAGATGCAGAGTAGAACAACTGCATGTAATAATGATGGTATCAACATAACCATATTTTTAAATAGATCAATAAAGGAGTAAAACCCCATCAGCAAATATGATGAGGCAGTTGGAAAGGAAAAAGAAGTTTTTGATTATGCAAGCCACATAAAGTAGATATTATATGAAAAGAACTGGTGAAATAGAACTAGTAGCATCATGGAAGATTACAAAGCAGTATAGCCTGTTCCAAATCTCCCAGATAAAATCATTCATAAACAAGGAACAGGAAAATCAGAAAATACAAAAAGAAGCCAAAAAAACAAAATACCAAAACAGAGATGCACCAACATCCTTTCGCTCCCAGACATGTAATTTATCTGGTAAGAGAAAAAGAAGAAACCCATCACATGAATAACCGAATCTCACTTACACTCAACACCAGCTTCAGCAGCACGCCTAGGCTTGCTTTTACGCCTGTTTCCATTCAGTCGATAACCATTGGATTTGATTGAGTTGTCAGTGCTCAATCTGCTTCCAATACCATTCTCCTCTTTGACTGAATCAGAGTTCTCTTTTGTCTGTGAATACTTTTTCCTCTTCTTTCCGTTCTCTGTTATTGCTTGACTTTTCACCTCTTTGGTCGAGACCGCTGGTTTAGTATTCTCCCCATCCTCCTCCTCTATCTTCTCAATTACTTCTTCGTCGATTTCATCTTTCAATGGTTTCTGAGGCCTTCCCCTTCTCTTGTATGCAGGGAGTGATTCTTCATCACTTCCAGGATCCTCATGATTTGTAACAACAGTCATTTTTTTCCCCTTTCCTCTGCCTCTACCCATTATCCCAAAATGCCCCAAAAGAAAAGCTCAAACAGCTAAGGATGATTTCTGCATGAACAAAGAAATGGATCGTCAGGTACAACTGAACAAAAATGCATGAGTTGCAATAAGGCTTAGGTGAACTACAGAGATTGGAAGACAACCAAAAAACCTCRATATAGAAGAGTTCTGTCAGTATTAACACCCACAACAATATGAATAGCATAGTTCTCAAATTCAACATTAGAAAATTCATGGGGTGGGGAAGGGAAAGAGGAAAGGAGAGAAGCCGGGTGCAGTTCATAATGTAATTTAAAACCTCATCTACGGCATATCAACTAAAATGAACTGAGCAACAAAAAAGTTTAATTTAGAATTGAATAGCACAGACATGAAATAACTGCCTTCCATAAACAGCTCGGATCCCCAACAAAACTTGGAAGGAAAATGGAGGAAGAGAATAAGGTTGAGAATCGCAACTCAAGAATCGTCTCTGCAAATAAAACAGAACTTCCCACTGACCCTCTGAATGAAAATCGATTCCAAAACAGAAAAAAAAAAAAAAAGATAACACCTTTTGAGGAGATTTGATGCAAATGGAAAATTGCCAACTTAACTTTCAAAACTTATAATCAAGAGAAACGCATCAGGAAAGAGAAAGTAGAAACCGAGATATCCATCAGAATCAAAAAAAATGTCTTTCAGAAACCGGATTCTAAGCCCATCAAACATGAACGAATATTTGTAACGTTGAACCCTTACAGTCTTATTCAAATGTTCAAAAAGAAAATCAGTAACAACTAAAAAACGAAACTGACCTCACATGGAGCTACTCTTGGCTGCATCTCCCGCATAAAACTCATTCCTCTGAATCTGTTTGCAAAGACAATATGCCTCTAAAAACCCAAAACAGGGAGGTCTTTGTTTCCTATCAATGGTTTCTAGAGTAGAAGTAGAGATGCACAGATTTCCTGGTGAAAACTATAATTTGTGGAAAGGAAAAGAGTTGGAACACAGATCAGAAAACAATACAATATGATATAGAGTTTAGCAAGAAATTTGAGATTGGAAGAAATGAATCACCATCTGAGTTTTAAGAGCAACCCAGATAGCAAAAGACTGAGCAAAGAGAAGGGAAAACCGGAAAAGAGAGGTAAGGAGATATTTGTCGATTGATTCCATAGGAATATTGTTATTATTGTAAATAAATAATAAATTCAGTATCTTATAAAAATAAAATAAAAATTGTGAATTACAACAATACCCCTAATGCTTTCAGAAAAGTTCACTCACCTACCCTGTTTCTAAAACAATGTTTTTGTCTTCTTTATTTTATTATGATATTCAGTTTATGATTAATTTTCTTTAGAAAATATTTTTTTATTTCTCATTTCTATAGTCATTTTGGCATTAGGTCAAAAACATTTTAAAGAAAATAAGGGAGTTCCTTGAACATTTCAAGAAAGTAAAGGATATAGGTGTAATTTCAATTTGTATTGATGATTTTGGAATGTAATTGACTCGTTTTTGTACTAAATTAACAAAGGTGAAAGAAAGAGGTAAAAACTAAAAATCAGAAACCAGCTATATTGTGAGTTTACCAAAATCTCCTTCAATCTTTCCATCGATTAATGAAGAATTACAAACTTAGTGAAGGGTGAAATTGCTATTTTGCTTCTTGGGCTTCAGTGTTTCTTTTTAAATGAACTTTTTTGGCATTGATTAATATTTTAATTTTTGATTTTATATGAGATATAATCTTATATTCCGGCTTAAATATGGAAAACGACGGTCTTCCTTACAAAATTTGAACTACTTGAAAATGACAACAATTATAAAAAGAAATAAAAATAATTAAATGACAATATTATCCTTTTCCAATTTGCCATGGGGAAGTTAAGGTCAGGCCGGGTTTAAGACCTGGTGAACCGGGTCTAGTCATGGGCTGGGCCTCATAAGCACATGGAAGAATCACTTAACCAAGGCTGTATATAAAGCTAGCCCACTGGAATCTTCTTAAACAAAAAAAAAATAAAAATAAATAGGAAAAGCCAAAATCTGGCTTTAGGACCCCCGAATGGGCTTGCACATGAACTTTAGCCCGTGGGCTTGACCTCGAGCCTAAAAGCCTAAGCCCAACTATTTTACAGGCCGGGCTTGGGATTTGTCACAAGCCCGACCCGACCCGACATTTTGTATTTTATTGTAAACCCTAGCCGATTAACCTTTCCTATTCCCTCTTTTCATATTTTATCTTTCTATCCTCATTCTCACTCTCAATAACTGGCACGAATCCAAGCAAACAACCACTGTTCTCAGTCTTAGAGGTGACAAGCAAGCTCAGGCACCGGTCATCGTCTCTCTCTGGCGGTGAGTCTTCTCTCTCTCTCGTCTCTCTCACAGTTCTCACTCGCACGCACTCACATATTCTCAAGATTCAAGAACCGACGAACTCAGGCACCAGAACCAGCCGCGCCACTAGTGAACTCAGCCGCCCCTTTCTCCGGCAGTGAATCTTCTCTCTCTCTCCACCATTCCTCTCTCTCTCTTGTCTGTCTTGCAGTTCTCATTCTCATGCATTGTTGCATATTCTCAAGAACCAGTGAACTCAAGCATTAGTGATGGCGAACTCATGCACTGGCGCCAACCGCACCACCAGTGAACTCAGTCGCCCTACATTTCAACCTCTGTTAAGTCGGGCTTCGGGCTCGGGCCCGAGTTGTAGGCCTGTTGGTCAGGTCGAGCTTGGGCTTGGGCCTGAAAAAATCTTGTTAATGAAGAGCAAAAGCTCAGCCCGGCCAATGAACAGGTCTAATAGGGCCTAGTTAAACCTGTCGGCCAACCCTAGTCCTATATTTTATAAGCAGGCCTAGAAATTGTCAAATTTTAAACGGGCCCAAAACTAAATCCATTTGAAATTCTTCAACTCAGGCAACCCAACTTACAGCTCCTACTCAAGATGCCAATTGACTCTGAAAAGGTCTCTGGCCGGATGTAGTAAGACTTGGGATCCAATCTTGTCTTCACCAATTTTGGGGTTTAAGGGTTTGGGGGATAAGTTACACCGTTGTGTGCATTAGGTTTATTTCGAACATAGATGTGTATAACAGGCTATATAACCAATCATGAGTGAATACATCAGTATTTTTTCTTAGGTGGGTTTTATGTATATGGAACACTGGCATGTCCAATCATAAAAGGTTATGTAGCCCATTTTATGGGTTGGACTATGATACTAGAAAGACATGATATCTGAAAAATTTGTGACCAACCAACTGATATCATAACGTGTCAATCAATTAGGTGGATTTTATCAAAATTTGCAGGTGGGTTTTAATTGGTTAATACTCCTTTGATACCATGTCTTTCCAACATCATAGATTTTCCCCCCATTATACACATTTGTGTTTGTAGCAGGGTCACATGAAACTAGACCTGGCAATTGTGTTGGGTGGGTCAGGTTCGGGTTGGGTCAACACACTGCRGATTGAATTTTGAGTTTGTTCAACAACTGCTAATCTCCAACCCTAAATGTTTGGGTTAGGGTTGACCCATTGGGTCAATTCAGGTCATCCCACAAAATAATTGGATTTTTTAGAAATAAAGAAAAATACATGAAAATGATAAAATTAAAGGAATTAACCTTAAATTTCCAAAAATAAAATAAAATAACTTGAACATTTAACAATTCAAAGAGTAAAATCTAAATAGTAAAAATTAAAGAGTGGAAACTTCTAACAATGCACAAATAATCCAATTAGACCTAATAATCGGGTCAATGGATTCACCTATAACCCAACCCAGTTTTTTCCAGATTGAATCGGGTTGGGTCATTCTCAAATTCAAGTAGCTAAACATAAGACGCTAACCTTGTTTTTTCAGGTTGGATTGGGTAGAGTTTGCAAGTTGGGTCAACTTTTTGCTGGGTCTACATGAAATCTCATGGAGAAAACAAGTTGCCCTCCCCTCACCCAACAAAAAGATAAAACCTTAAAACATGAGAGAGAGATGAATGGATGCATTTCTCATAGAGATTTCTGAGAAAATGGCTTACATGCAATGAATTGAACCCGACCAAAGAGGAGTTGGAGTGGCTGTAGGACAGATCTGAGAGGGTCAAAAGATGCCAGCCCTACCCACCTGCAGCAGACATAAAGTAAAATATGCATCAATCACATGAAACACATGCTTAAGCATCCAAAATTAATTAATAATTAATTAAGTCTGTGTTTTGTTTGAAGGATAAGATAGGGAAAGAAAGCGAAACCTGGAGATACTGATCAAACACAGCAGACATTAAGTCTGTGTTTCTCTACTTTTTCCTTCCTTTTCCTACCTTTTCCTTCAAATTAAACACAACTGGAGATACTGATCTTTAGAAAAAATCAATGGGCTGATCCACCGAAAGTCGTCCTCTTTTTCTTGARTTTAGAAAATCTTCTCAAACCAAATATGGTATAGTTTGGTAGGGTGGTTAAGAACACCTTAACATGGAAAACAATATTTGTCAATGAATTCGAAACCAATCTTGCCACATTTGGACCAAATGCAAAGCATTTTGGTTACTGGATCATGGGTGGAATTAATGGTTGCCTCGTTGGAACGCCTAATTTCAACTATTTGATTTGTTTAAATAAAAAGAAAAAACACAGATAGTTTCAAAGTATTTTATATCAAAATAAGTTTGAGACAGTAGTAAATACAATAGATAGATTATAATAGGTATTAACATGGTTACTTGAGGTAAATTTGACCCAGTCAACGTTTTCAAAACCGTATTGGTTGCCCATTCCTAGTTGTACTATTAAGAATGCAAACGTATTGAATTGAATTCAGATATAGTTGATTCAAATTCATTGGGTTTTCAATCATCCCAATTCAAATTTTCTTTTATTCAATTCGATCATGTAAATTCAAATCAAGTATCTGACTAACACATTTTTCTGATCTGATTTGATTCAATAAGATATAAAATGACATCTGAATCCAATACAACATTGGATCAACTTCAATTTCAAATCGCATCAGAATCTGATTTAGTTGCAGCCCTACCATCCATTCAGGTCCAAATCTGATAACAATTTTAAATAATAATAATTTCACTATTCATTTCAAAATCCATGTAACAAAGATAAATACTCAAAGGATGGTGTACCAATGGATTTATTGCCTTTCAATCTAAAAATTTGGCTTCAAATCTTCTTAATTATAGTTCATTAATGTTTTAAACTTGTAGTTGAACTAAATGTAATTGGATTGATTAACCTATCAATTGGAAACTTTTCTAAATATGTTTCAACTCGAACCCTTTTTTTGCAAAAAAAGAAAATAAAAAAGATTTGGTCAACAACCAAATGACCTTACTAGTTGAATCACTAACCTGTTTGACTAACTCAACATGATATAGGTAAGACATTAGTATTCGTTTTTTATTGATTTGCACTTTAGCCATTCCATCATTAATATAATTTTAATTTTTCACACATTTTTGTCTAAAGTAACAAATATATAATATTAAGGACATGTTTAAATGTTCTGTAAATTTTTATAATATTTTCTATATTTTTATTTTATCATTTAACTTATGACATCACAAACTTACTTGTTTGAATGAAATGGAAATGTGGTTCCAATATATTTTTAGAACATTGGTTTTCATGGTCAAATCTGCATGCTAGATTTGTTAACCCATTTGACCTAGCAATTGAACTATTTGATCCACCGGGATGGAAAAACTATTTTGCTTTCGGTCAATTTTAAATTTTGTATTCCATTAACATCATTGGTAAAATAGTTCTTACTTTCACACTTATCTTTATTTAATATGATCAATATATAATATTAAGTTGTTCCCAAATGTTTGTTTTACAAAAATTCTATACCTTTTTCATATCTTTTTGTCTTGTTCTTGGAATATTTATTATTTAATTATGACATCCTTAGTTGATCCATTTGATTCAAAAGGTTAAACCATTGACCCACCACCTAGGCAAGAAAATAATTCTTGCATGTTTTAGTAAATATAAACCTTGTTTATAGAACTTATATTTGTTTGATATGATTAATATGTAATATTTAATGTGTCTAAATTTTTCTATTTTTTATATTTGTCACATTTCATTGTATTTTCTATTTAAAAAAATTATTATTTAACTATGACCTCACAGATTGAA